CTGCAGGAACCTTTAGAGTCGGTTTTCACCAGTGTGTGCCAATATGATACGTCTAATAAAGTTGTTCTTGGAGGAAACTGCTTGCTTCGGAGTTCTGTTTGCTATGGGTATATTATTACTTGGAACCCTGACACCCTAATCATCTTTGTGCTGTGCATACGTTGTCCCTGCAGGTGGTCACGCTGTCAGAGTACGACCACGTTGAAGAAGAAACCACAACGGGAGCTAAGAAGTCGCCATCTCCAGGCTACCCGCTGGTCTGTGTTACTCCTTGCGATTCTCACTTCCCCAAGTACTCGCTGATGAAGGAGCGCTGCGGTGAGGCTGGGATCAACCAGTCCTCCATACAGTTCAGCTGGGAAGTAGCTACCCCCACTGATGGAAACGGAGCTAGATCTCCTTTTGAAACCATTACGGACAATACTCCCTTCACCAGCGTCAATCACATGGTAGGTATAAAGCAGGAGTGTCAAACTCAAGGCCCGCTGGATGGATCTGGCCCATGGAGGGCTTAGATCTGGCTCGCAGGGCTGGAAACAGCGAATGACCGGCCTGTGGTGCCTCTGCCAGCAAAAACGGAGCTCAGGAGGGCTGCATGTGGCCCTTTAGGCTCCGTTTTTGGCAGTGACGGCCTCCTGCAGCCCTCTGGCAGTGAAAATGGAGTACAGGAGGGCTGCAGGAGGATGTTGCAGCCAAAAATGGAGTCCAGAAGAGCTGCACACAGCCCTCCCAGGCTCCGATTTTGGCTGTGACGTCGTCCTGTAGCCCTCTGGCAGTGAAAACGGAACACAGGAGGGCTGCAGGAGGATGTCGCAGCCGAAAACGGAGCCCAGAAGGGCCGCACACAGGTTCCGTATTTTCTGGCAGAGGGCTCAGGACATCGAGCTGGCCACACCCTTCCTGCCCACATCCATCCCTGCCTCGCCCACTTGGCCCCCAAGCTCAAACACAATCCTGATGCGGCCCTCAATGAAACTGAGTTTGACACCTCTGATATAGAGAATCATGCTGAGCCGTACCATCAGGGGGCATGGGTTTGGCTGGACCTGAACCACTTCTGAGGAGAGGTTACGATGACATGCTCCATGTTTAAATGCTGCCAAATAAATTAGGAATGATACGGTGGATTTGAATGTCAGGGAGTAGTTAAATATCAAGAAATGAATGAAATTCTGCATTCCCTTTCTAATCGGTAATCCCAAGGGCACATCGTTGAAACAATTGCAAATTCTTTTGTCAGTTTCGCCAATGCCACTATTTTGCCACTTTCCTTTTTCGGTTTATTTTATTTTGTAAGCTGTCCTGGGCAGGTTCTGCTTTCATGCCCCTTTCAAATTGCCAATATCCAATTACGGAGTGATTTAAAAAAAAGCAAAGAACAACAACTCCATCTAGTCTATCATATTAACCGACTTGCTCTTTGTAGAAACACAGTTGACTTCGGGCCAATCCCCAGGAGACTGTGAGTTCTAGTCCTGCCTTGGGCCTGAAATCTGGCTGGGTGATCTTAGGCCAGGCATGCTCTCCTATAAATGCCTACTTTATTCATTTATATTTGAATATCCAAACAACGGTCCCATCCTGTAGAGGGAGATACATGGCCACATTTTCACTATGCAGTTGCTGGACCACAGATATCGTCAATGTTTCAGGTGTTAGTATAGTATAGTGTTCTGACCCCCTCGTCCTACACCAAAGCACATCGAGACAAAGATACTTCAAGGATTTATTAACACACAGACAAGACCTTGGCAGCAATCCAGCCTGCAAAGCTAGCCACGAAAGTTCTCCAACTTTAGTGACTGTGTTGACTCCTGCAAAGGGGTGTGTGCACAATCATTCCTTTTATAGTCTTGAGAGGCTGAGTGCAATTATCTCCTGTAACTGTGTA